ATCACTCTCAGCCGACTCAGACTTTGCCGAATCTGCCCGTCGCTCCGCTCCGTCCGCACTTGCGCTCGATGATTTTTGCTCCTTAGGAATCCGCACAATACAACACAGATGCGGCGCTTCTTTCTCCGCCTGTATTTGCACGACGATAGACCTCGTGGTATACAGTGCCACGCCGCCCTCTTCTTTGGCTTCCCGCATTGCGTGTTCGTCCCAAATACCCCACATGCGCACATCCTTGGTCCGAACATCAACAGCGACGTATGGGGGCAAGAACGTTTGGCGATTAACGCCAGAGCTGGTTGTGGAAGAGGTACTCTGCATGCTACCGCTCGGACCGATGCCGTCGATCCAGTAGGCCAATTGCTCAGCCGTATGGACATTGACGTTGATGCTCAGTGCTTTAGGCAAGTCTTCATGCGCAGGAAGCTCTCGAAGTGAACGTATGATGCTGTTGGATGTGTGGCAATGCCGACACAGCGCTTTCGACATGGTCTCACGCAGCAACGATACCTTCAAGATCGACGCAAAATCGCTAGGCGGTGGAAGCTCATTGGACATGGCCTACGTCAACGAGGTGATGCGCAAGTCTCATCAGCAGATGTTCGAGTTGCCATGTGTCGCGCAAACACGCACCTTCCTTGGGTATACCAAGTCTACCACACTGCTATTGGCTTCCCTGTCCGACGAAAAGCCGCACGTGGAGCAGACGTTGCGCGTTCTGACCGCGCTCCTGAAGAGCGCCGAGACGGGATTAGCGCGCCTACTTTGCTGACCAGGCGAGGGTCTCTCTGCATGTCTTGCGGCCTCTTGCGAGACTGCCTCTAGGACAAATCGGTTAAAAGTCTGTATGAGGTTGCTGTAAGCGGTGTCCGCATGTGGCGAGTCTTCCTTGTCCATCAATCCCAAAGAGATGGCTGGACCGACACAAGCCCTCCAAAGAAAAATCAGCAAACGCTCCAGCAATTGGAAGAATGGCGCTGCTCACCTCTTTCATTGTTCCCCAAAGCTCTGAAGAAGTTCGTCGCTTGGCAGTTCTGGCCCTTGGCAGTGTCTAGACTTCTGAACAAGAATCCAGCCTCGCAAAGCAGACAAGTCTCGACGCTGCAAGTCGCGTGCGTTTCGTGTGCAGAATTGAGACAGTGCTGCTCTGCAAGTTGTCTAAAAGGCAAGAGATAGTGCAAGGATTGCAAGTAGGCGTTCGAGTAGGAATTCTGAATATGTGTTTCCAATCCAGAGAATGGCGTCTTGTTGTAGAAATCGAAATCAAAGTCTTCGATTCCAAATTTGCTGTACTGGATGGTCTTGACGCCATAGTAGGATGGCATTCCTCTGATCTCTTCTTTCGAAATGGCGAATTCAGCCCCCGGGCTAAGAGGAGTGTCGAGAGTCTGCGAGTCCGCAGCATTCGTCCTTGCTCTAGCTTGCTCCTTCTCCCTTTCAGATCTGAACAGTGGCATGCCTATTCTCCGTCTTTCA